TCTTCCCATTTGCAATTATCCTCCCTGCAAATTAAATAGGATTAACTAATTATAGTGGTGCCTTCAGACATAAACCACATCAAACACCCTAGTAACCAAGAATTGTCCTATCTGTGAAAATATGCCAGAGAGCTTTAAAATCTCTGGTATCTGTTTTGAGGCCCAGAACAAAGGGACTAAGTCAACCCACAAAACTTCCATAACCTTGGTTAGCCAGTATAGGTATGTACTCTCGCACTTCCGTTAACCTTATTTTCTTAAAATGCTGCTTTTAATAAGATAATCCTTTCTTCAAATATATATTGTGGATCCAACATAGAAAGCAGCAGTAGGTCTATTAAAGCACCAGGACCTGTTGTTAAAGGCCATTTGTTTAAATCGTGGCCCTGATGTAAACTAGCCTGCAGCTTTAGCCAGGTAACTTAATTTTTTAGCCTTAGATTATTTAATCACCCAAATGGGACAATCCTGCCTTCTCCATAAAACTATTGTGAGAAATAAGAGGAATAGTATGTATAAAGTGTCTGATACATAGGCACTTTATATTTATATGTTGAATCTGAATAAAGGATATAGCCACAATTCCTTGACATGTTAAGGCTTTCCAGAGTTTGGCCCCAAATTTCCTGTCTATCATAATCTTCCAGTAGGAAGATTCCCTGTTCCAATCAACTCAGACTTCTAACCAACTAGCACCATGCAGTGATTCAGGCTTCTTCCTGCTTTCTGGCTACCTCCTCCTCTACTGTATTCAGTAATCCTATCATCTTTCAAGACTCAGGTTAAAGCCCATCTTTTCCATGATGTTTAGTCTGGCCGCTGACTCTTCATTTAAGTATATTTTTACTAGAGACCTGGTGCACAATTTGTGCACAGGTGGGGTCCCTTGGCTTGGCCAGCAATTGGGGCTAATCAGGATCTTCTTGCCCAGTCCAGGCCATATAGGGCAGGGACCATGGGAGGGCTCCAGGGTGTGTCTGGCCCTCTCGCCCAGTCCTGATTATCAAGTGGATCCCAGCAGCAAGCTAACCTACCAGTCAGTCAGAGTGTCTGCCCCCTTGTGGTCAGTGTGCATCATAGTGACTGGTTGGACACAACATATTATGCTTTTATTATATAGGATTTTTTTCAGAGAAGAAAGGGAAACAGAGGGAGAGAGAGAAATATCAATGATGAGAATCATTGATTGGCTGCCTCTAGCATGCCCCATACTGGGGATCAAGCCCGAAACCCAGGCATATGCCCTGACTGGGAACTGAACTGTGACCTCCTACTTCTGTGGTCAGCGAACTGCGGCTCGTGAACCACATGCGACTCTTTGGCCCCTTGAGTGTGGCTCTTCCACAAAATATCACAGCCTGGGTGAGTCTATTTTGAAGAAGTGGTGTTAGAAGAAGTTTAAGTTTAAAAAAATTGGCTCTCAAATAAATTTCTATCATTGTACTTTTGATATTTGGCTCTGTTGACTAATGAGTTTGCCAACCACTGTTCTACTTCATAGGTCAATGCTCAACTATGAGCCACACTACTGGGCTGACCATTAAATCTTTAAACAACTCATGGGATCCTTAATTATATACTTTAAAAATATTATATCTGTTTGAACATGTCTTATTTCCTTTGGTATAGAATGCATTTCTAGAAGTACACCAAGACTTGTATGCCTCATTATATATCCCCACATTAACTTTCACAGGCTCTGAAGTAGGACAGGTATCTCAATGTATTTGTTTTATCAACTGAGGTATTCATCAAAAGATAATTTGAAAACACCTATTAAAGTCAACCTTTTTCATTTTATAAATAAAAATCTTGTCCTCAGATAGGAGAAGTAATATTCAAGGTCATATGAATACTTTGGTATTAGAGATGGAAGCAGAATTCAGGTCTCCAGAGGCAGAGACCAAGGCTATCCTTCAACATTATTTCTCCACATCTTTAGGACTACAGCTTTTAGCTGAAAACATGGTCACCCAGAATGAAAACTTCATTTCTCATCCTCCCTTTAGCGAAATGTGGATAAAAATAAAAGTGTTACCTAACTGTATCTTCTCTTTTCTCCCTCTAACCCCTTCATCTTTGCTGCCTAGAACATGGACGTGATGGTACAATTCCACAGTGAATTATGAGATTGAGGGCCATGACCCAGAGATGGCAGAGCAGAAAGCTGAAAGAACCCAACACTTGAAGGCTTTCAAGGAGCAAAAACAGAGCCATAATACCACTTCTGGACTGCCTACACGTAGACTTTCACATGGGAGAAAAATAAACGTCTATCTTACTTATGTTGCTGTTATCTTAGATGTATATTTGAATATTATTGGCAGCTTAACTAATTCTATTATCCCTCCTATCAATGCTCAGATGCTCTTAGCTCTTCACATTGCCTCTAGGCATATATCTTAAGCCACTTTTTCATTCATTCACTCAATAGCCATTCAAAGTTCATGGACATTCTGCCTAGCATAAATCTAAAAGGAGACTATGGTGGACATGAGAATTAAATGTACAGACACTGTGCTTAAAAGTCACGGGCACTGGATGCACTTCTCACTCTCTGAATTCATATCATAGTTCATATGACTGGCAAACATTCATCTCAGAATTTCTCTGGCAGTCCCATCTCAAATAATCTCACTGTTTCCAGTAACATACTGTTGATCAGATCATTTGTGCTTAATATATTCCAGTTGCCTCTCTACATCCATTCTCGGCCCTTATCCACTCTTTTGTTTGCCCAGGGAGGTTTATCTGTATCTATAGGCTCTCTTGCCCTCTGATTTCTGGTTGGGTTTGTCAATAAGAATCTCTGGAAAGAGATCAGAGGGAAGAGAATGAGCTGTATGTATGATATTTATTTTTCTCAGCTCCCTCCCTGTGGGGTCATTTCAGGCCAACTTTGTTCCTCAACTGAAGGTCACTCTTCCACTCAAGGTGGCCCGCTCTTTACTACTGGATTATGGTAACCACTCATTCCCTTCACACCCTTGAAGCTATTACTAGCTCCAGGGAATGGCACTACCTATATGCTGTGGTTTCCCACACACTGCCCACACCTTGTAAATAGCCCATTTATTAAGCCCTACACAAATGATCCTAATGTGAGGCTGCCATCTGTTTCCTGCTAGCAGGCTGGCTGATACAACATGTGTCCCAATTTTCAGTTCAAAATATATAAGTACTAGACACACAACACCCATCAGAATCATCGTTAAGAATGGTGTTAGAGTAAAGGGAAGATATTTAGCAAAATTCAGTGCATAGAGAATTTCAGACTATAAGAATAGCATCATGATCACTTAACTTTTGATACAAGATTTGGCTCTCAGGACTGAGCCACGCACAGTCCTCTTTATGTATTTATTTTTTAGAGGGTATTCTGGACCAGACACTATATTTTGCAAGCAGTCTAGTCTTGAAATCTTTTCTTTAGAAGTGGAACCCATTTCTAAGTGGAACCCACAGTCACTGGGCAAAGTACATTTTCCCACCAATACATATCAGAAACTCAGGTATAGTATTTTCTGCCAATTCCATCAGTATCTTCATTAAGGATCTTTAAAGTGCTCAATATACCTATTTCAGAAGCACAATCCACATTTGTTGAAGAGTGAAATGTAAAACCAAATTATCATTTCTTATTCTTTATTGGTAATCAAAGTATTGCTGATTACAGAGACCAAAAACTATACATCCAATGTGAAGAACAATTTCAGACTATCTGCAGGTCTTCCCTAGATTGTTCAGGGAGGAAAAGAGGAAAGGAGAGGAGGAAGGTGTGGTAGACAGAACAATGCACCCCCCTCCAAAAATGTCCAAATCTTAATCCCTAGAACCTCTGAATATGTTATTTTACATGAAAAAAAGGAACTTCATAAAATGATTAAGTTAAAGATCCTGAGATGGACATATTATTCCGGATTATGTGGATGAGCCTAACAAATAACAAGGGCCCTTAGAAGTGAAAGAGTGAAGCAGAGAATTCATTGTCAGATGCAGCATGAGAAAGACTCAAGTTATCATTGCTAGCCTACAAGATGGAAGGGAACCACAAGCCAAGGAATACAAGCAGCCTCTAGAACAGGGGTGGGGAACCTTTGTTCTGCCACGGGCTATTTGGATATTTATCGCATCCTTTGCTCAATATAATTAACTTAATATACATTTATGTTGCTATAAAAAAAGCTCCTACATTTTTAATTTTGAGTCCCTCCTGTGGTTGCCTTGGCAGGGCCAGACCAAATGATTTTGTGGGCCTTATACAGCCCTTCCCCTCCCCTTTTCTTTGAGCTAGAAAAGGCAGGAAAATGAATTCTCTCCTAGAGCCTGTAGAAGGAATGCAGACCTGCAGATATTCTGATTTTAGGCCAGTGAGACCAAGTTCAGATTTCTAAACTGTAAGATAATAAATTTGTGTTGTTTTAAACCACAAAGTTTATGGCAACTTGTTACAGCGGCAACAGAAACTGATACAGAGTGCAAGACTGAAATATCCAGACCCAGAAACTACGCCAGGGGAAGGAGAGGAGCTGGGAACTGATGGACGGCAGAGTCAGAATACACTGCGGGCAGCACTTCCAAACTGTGTACCACTTGAATTTAGTTACCATTTAGTTACCTGCACTGTGGGAACTAAATTCACTGAAAAATAAATCTGCTCTTCATCTCAGAGACTCACACTCATAAAATGCTTTCATGCCCTTTGTGTCACCCAGTAGAAGCTTTTTCTTTTACTCAGAATTTCTGGAAATTAGCAAAACTTCTGTATTTTGTTAGAGACCTTTATTGGCTTCATTCAAAAGGATGAGCATCTGTCTTATACCTTATTCTGTAGCTTCCTGGTGGCCATATTGTAGCAATGGATTACACATTATAAACAGCAATTTTTATAAGTTCCAAAGCACAGTCTACAGAGCACCAGTACCCATTATTTGCATTATATGAAAACGCACTGCATGTTCTCCCCACAGCTGCCTGTTTTTTGAATGGGCCTTACTTACCACACTCTGGCCCAGCTGCTCCCGAAAGAAATAATCCATGTTTCTCTTCTGCAGGCTGTCAAGGTAATGCTGAAAGCGGGTATATGTATACGGGTAGCAGTAGGCAAATTGGTAAATATCTTCTTCTCGGTCAAAACAAAATGCAAAGGACATCACATAATTCTTCCTATGGTCCGGGCAACGGTAGTAGTAAACATTTTTAGGTGGCAGCCTTTGCCTGAAAGATACAAAGAAAGAAATTTGAGCATTTCAGACAATCATTCTAGCTTTAAAAGGGAATAAGCAGAAATAAATGTCCAAGAAAAACTGTAACATCAAGATCCTAGGTGGTGATCAGGGCAACAGCTTACACCACCTGTCGTCACCAAGGTATATGAGGAATGAATCTGGCAGAACTCTTCAAATTCCAGTCCTACCCTTTGTCAGCTGCTTGGACAATGCAATGTTACACAAAGCTGAACAAGTTGTATTAATTGTTTCTCTTATTGAGAGCACCTTTTGTATGCACAGGCATCACGCTAAACTCTTGATGGGAAGGTAACTAAGATGGGTAAAGTGTTGTCCTCATGGAGAATATCCTATAGTGGGAAGCAGTCAATAAAATATTAAAACTAAGTATACAAAATAGCTATAGTCTCTAAAAATGTTTTGAGGGGAAAGAGTGTGTATTTTAATGACATAGATATGCGATGCCTGCTTTTTCTAGGGAAGTCCGGTTTTTGTATTATAAGACTATTTCAGACCTCCCAAAAGAATGTGCATTGTGAATATTCAAGGTAGTAGAAATTATTCAATACTTCTTTAGGTTATTACTATTATTTTTCTAGAGAACATTTCATGAGGCTAGTTTTCCACAGAAGCACTTTGGAAAACTCTGCTTAAAAATATGCTATGCAGGCAATTTTTCTAAGCCATCATGCTCATTCTCCAAAAAGAAATATTAAAACCATACATGAGAAAAGGCAATATGTTCCAGTCATAATTCCTATAACTTCTTTATATTCTCCCACCTCACAGGTTCACTGCATCCTGCCATGCTGTATGACATCGAAACCATTCATATGTACAAAGAAGGCCTCTCATTTCGGTCCCTTCAAATTCTGTTAATCATATAGAATCCACCACAAACTGTGCCTTTTTCAGGATCATCCATTGACAATTTGAGGCCAGTTCAGCTCCCACATTTTGTAGGAACTTGCTTTTTTATTGAATGCTTCCTAAGTTTTATCCATTAGGATCAGTTTGGAAGCTCCTTGAGGAAAAATCTGTTTTGGTTTTTTTTTTGTTGTTTTTTGGGGGGAGTGTTGGGAAGGGTTCTGGCACAGTGGATGTTGGGATGTTCACCTGGAACACCTTAGAATTCAACAGAGAAGTCAAGAGGCACAGAAACATATGGAGGAAAGTGTGAGAAGGAGGGCACCAGACATGAGGTTGAGAACAACTAGAATGATGATGGCCCCAGCTAGGATGGCCTGAAGAACATTAAGAGGTCTAAGAGCATCATCACACACCCTGTTTATTGCGGAATCTTCAACAAGTTGCATTCATTGTTTATTCTAGGTGTCTTTCTGAAACTGTCTAAATGGTCATGGTGGGAGTGAGGCTGGGGGCTTCCTGTGGAAGAGCAGCAGTTACCTGACACCGATGTTATACACAGAGTAGCTGTACTGCTTTTCTGTGGCCCTGAATGTTATGAATCCCACCCAAACATTAATTGGAATGCAAAGATGAGAAAAATACAAAAGGAAAGGAAAGGAAGGACTGAGAGAAAAGAGATAGGACATGCCATGTATGGATTGTTTTTAGGGCTCATTCTATTCCTGATTCAGTCCTTGTAGCTAATCTGTCAAGGTGGGTATTGTTACCCAACTTTGCAGATGTGGTCAAGGAGGTTCATAAAAGTTAAAGAGATTCCATATGATCTCAAGCAAGTGAATGACAGATCTGGGATTCAAATCTGTCTCTATCTGATTTCAAACTCTGTAACACTGTTCTATGGTTCCTCTTGATGAATTATGGGCTCCTAGAATTCCAGATATGGGTGTGTCAAAGGCCAGGAGGCAATAAGAGACAAGTATACCAGTAATATTAGGATGGCAAGAAATTCATCATGGCTAAAGCACAAAGAGTAAGAAGGGAAATCATGAGAAATGTGCATGAAGAGCAAGGCAGAAGTCAGATTAGAAAGGGACTGTATAAGGCATATTAGAAAATTTAAACATAATCCTATAGTCAAGGGTACCTTTCAAGTGAATGAAAGGAGTAAAGTACCGAGATTGTACTAGTCTAAGGGATAGGTGAGAGTGGTCAGAAAGAGGACAGGATACTGGAAACAAGACAGATTTTGACTATTAGAGAGAAGTGGATTAAGTGATGGGCCAGGGAGTCTAAGATGAGTAAGAGCCTGAAAGTGCCCAGGTGGGCAAGATATATAGAGAACAGCATAAGCAACAAAGGCACAGGGCTTTGCACATGAAGGTCAGTGGTAGCATCAGAAGCTGTCTAGGTGGTAGGCCCACCAGTAGTGTCCCTTTGTTTCCTACTCCCAAAGCCAGGAGGAATAAGCATGCAAGTAACAACAGTTTTTTTGTAATACAAAGACAGCTTTCAGATAAGCTCCCTGGACACTCCTTTCTAACCAGATTGCCTCCCTCAATATTCCTATGTTGAACATTTTGAGATACCAGTGAGAAGAAAGAGGAACAATGGCCAGGAAGGTGTATGGGGAATGAAGAAAGTTATGTCCCCTTGAGTCTTCTGTACTTAAGAGAGTTAACAAAATAGGCAGCTCCTGTGAGGGCAGCAAAGGAAGGGCTGGCCTCCAGGATAGACAGGCCTTAGTTCATTGTTTTATTCAGCAAATTTTTAAGTATCATGTACCAAGCATGATTTGGTTAAGATGAGAGGTAGGCAGTGGACTAAAACACAAGATACAAGTGATTAACCATGGAGCTGCCTCAAAGGGGAAAATGGAAAGTTTTGGATAGAGAAGTAAGCTGGAGAGAAAGAGAACAGGGAGAATAGATGACAGTCTATACATTTGTAATGTGATTGAACCTGCAGGAATATGAAGTTGCTGGAATAAGCTAGTCTCAGGGTTCCAGAATTGTATGCAGGGAGAATGCTAGTGAAAGTGGCTTTGAGGTCTCCAGCCAAAGGTCTGAGATAGTCACTTCAAGTCCTGACTCAGAGTTCTGAGTCTGAGTCTCCTAGAGCACAGGTGAGCATGCCTTCACCCCCAAGGGATTCCTATAGTCATAGGTCCCTCAGGTTATGATGCTGATCTTTTCAAGTCTTCATTTACTAGTATATCCAATCAGGGCCCATGCTTTAAATCTAATCACCTTACTTTTCTCCTATTCCAGCCAAATTTAGTAACTTGACTCTGAGAGCCTGCCATAAACACCAAATCTGATTATATGCTATCAGGAGAATTCATCTAATGCCTACAGCTGTCCCAGCTTCCCTCCTGAGTGGGTCAGATGCCTAACCTGATTTGCAGACAGAGTGAAGGTAATGGACCCTGGGGTAATCATTCAAGGAAGCTGGGATGTTGCTCAGGGCTTAGATTTTCCAGACCCTGCTACAAATACAAACAAAATCCATTTGAGAAGGACTCAGCAGGATAAATTCATGAGGACTTTCAAGTAATGCAAAGAATAAAAGAAAAGAGGGCTGGGAGTGTGTGGGAGAAATGTGTCCCTCATTTGGAATGCACTGCTGGTTTTCTCTTATTTTGGTTTTTATATTTTCACTGACTCAGGCATGGTGTTAAATGTTTTATATGCATTATCATTTAATCATTGCAATAACTCTCCGAGGTAGGGGCTATTAACATTTGTTTTACACAGATGAGAAAATAGAAGCTCAGAAAGATAAAATTCCCCAGGGTTGCAATGTTAGTAAGCAGCAGAGTCTGTAGCAGACATAGACTAGTGCAACTCTGAAGTCTGTGCTCAAGGTCCCTGTAGCATCTTGTCACTTACCTTTCTCCCCTTGCCATTCAACTCAGAGTTTTACCTCCTGCTTCCAAAAAAATCTGGTCACACAGTACTCACCCTAAAACTCTCCAAACAACTCCACTTCCTCAAATTGTAGTTTGGCTCACAGCACTCCTCAAGATCACCCTGTAATACCAGCATCATCAGCCATTTCTCCCTCCTTGTGCCTATGTTTTATTTATATGAGCAAATTAAGTCCCTAACATAACTTACTGTCATACCTCCCATATCTCTGTGTCTTTGTATTTGGAATTTCCTCACCTTGGACTGCCTGTCCTGCCATCTTAATAACTTGGTAAACTCTGACCCAATTTTCATTATATCAATTTGACTACATTTGACTGAGCACTACATGAGAGCAGGGTCTGTATATTACTCATATCATAGATTGTCAATAAAGGTTTAAATGTTTTTAAATTAGCTAATTGATTAATAAACAAAAGAATGTATAAATAAATGCCTATCCTTTAACATACCTCCTCAGAAACCTTCTCTGACTATTCATTCTTCGTTAATTTTCTCTACTTTGACGTATATTTAAACATGTCTTATCCCCTGGTTTGTTTCTTAACAATGAGCAACAAAAGTAAATGGAAATTTCTTCAAAGAATAGGATTCTTTTTAAAAATTTCTTTATTGATTAAAGTATTACATATTTGTCCTCCCCTCTTCCCCCATTCCTATCCCAAACCCCTCCCTATGCAGGCCCCCGTACCCCTGTTGTCCATGACCACTGGTTAGGATCATATGCATGCACACAAGTCTTTTGGTTGATCTCTCCCCCTTCTCCCCACCCTCCCCTACATTCCCTCAAAGGTAGGATTCTTAAATACAGGAACAATATCATCTTTTTCTTCTCTCACTAGTAGTGGTAAAGAAAGATATCAAATAATACTTGCTTGTTTTTAAAAAGCAATAGTAAAAGAAAAAGAAGATTCATCTCCTAAGATAAATGGTAGGAATCATAGGGGTCAAATCTTAACTCAGCATGAAGTAAAGACTCTTTAACACTGGGCTGAAGGGAAATCAGAAAGGTCCACATCACAGTGGAGGACAAGTGTGGGAAGCTTCAAGGGATTCCATAAAGAAAGTTCTTTATCCCCCCAAATAAGCAAATATTATTTGACACCTTTCTGTACTTGGTGCTAGGTTAGACAAGGTCACCTTCTGATCCCATTTAATACAGATAGTCTGAGATATCAATGAAAGCAATAAT